TTCATATTTAAATTGTTAGAGATAATTCATTTAAAAGGCTTAAGGCAAGTAAACCTCAAACAATTTGAGCTGAATTAACTGGTTTTACAGTGTAGTAGGTCAAGGCCTTTAAATACCCTGTTCCATGTACACCATAAATGTATATAATCATATCCCCATCATTTTTGCAACTTTTGGTCATTTTTAGGTGCAACAGTATTGGACGGGGGAAAGAGCTGATGCTATTCCTGTGTTTGACTGTCCTGTGCTGCCATCTTGTGGACAATTATAACACATAACAGGAATGAGCAAGAACAGCTAAAGCCAGAGCTATAAGTAAAGGGACTATTGGACTACAAACATGTCTCCATTGAATGCAATACCTGGGTATAGCGAATACCCGGGTATAGCAATACCTGGGTATAGCGAATACCTGGGTATTGCTATTGAACATTAAATTATAAATTATAAAATTATATTAAAAAAACCAACAAGCTTCTTTCTCATAATGTTATATTAATGACGTTTATTCACCTATTGCTGTTTTCAGCATCTTTATTTTATGCTTTTTATTAATGTAAACTCACGTTCTTGTTTCTTTTTATACTATTATATTGAGTACATGTCTGTATTTGGTGTATATATACAACTATTCCAAAATAAAGTTGTCTTAAAAAGTAGTCCTTATCGGTTGGGGCAATGATCCTGGAAAGACAAGTTTTTCAAATGAACTGTAAAACAATTAAAGCATCACCCATAAGCAACATAGACCTGTTTCACAGCAGCCATTGGGTTAGAGTCAATATTCTCTATGTTCTTTGGTGTTGTTGATGTTTTTAGGAGTTTATAAACAAACTCAAACTTAAATTAAATAACCGAGGATATTATCTGTTAAAATAACCTTTTATCCTTAACTAACACTGACTAGTACCTTGCATGGACAGCAGGTGGCGGTAATGTTTTATTAAAGGCAGTAACCCGTTACTGGAATACGAAGAAGAAGAAGAAGTAGAAGAAGAAGCCATAGCAACGATTAAACAAATATGGCGGCCTCGGCTGTTGCGTTCTGCCATAGTTCAAGCCTCTTCAGTTTATTTCTCTTGTTTCCTGCCGTCACTGCCAACGAAAATACAACGAGCTACAACTTAAATACGACTGGGTTTGGGGAGCAGAACGTCACGTTTAACTTTACGGACAATTATACAAGTACACCGCCCACAGAGTTTGACTCAACGAGCCCAACACCGAGCGCCAGCAGCACAGAGGACCCCGTTGAACCGAGCCTGCCCACCGAGCCCCTGCCCGTCTCCGGCCGCCTGCTCACTCCTGTCACCAACGGTAACCTACCGCATTACACTGTGACATTCAGTCTTAATATTATATTACATAGCTAGCCAGCTTAGGTCTACACTCTTCTCTAACGTTACTAAGCTGTAGTGGTAGTTAACTGCTGT